ACATTTCAAACTTGAGTTGGCTGACTGAACTGTGACAAATTTAGTTTAAATAGTAAGCGCAAAGGAATAAATCAAATAAATCCATCAAAAATAAATTAATAATTACTGCAGATCACTTCCTGTCCTACACTTCCTCAAATGACATTCAGTACTATTTTTTGTTACACTTCCCCAGTCTGCGTAAAGCCCACATATTTAAAACTACATGCCAAAGTAACACAGGTCTTAGGCATCTAAACGCAGACCATGAATCGGAACAGTATTCCCAATTAGGAGTAAGTGACACTTTAAGTGCAGAATTTAAGTACATTTACCTAATTTTAACCTGTGGTGAATAGTAGAAAACATTTTCCCGTACTTAAATCGTTGTCCCCCCCTTCCAGGTGTTTCCGGTGCGGTGAAAACAATGCTACGGAGTGCAGCAGCGGGTTTTGCTTTTGGAGAAGCTGCATTATTTGCAGTTGAGCCCACACTGACTGAAGACAGTATCCTGCTGAGTGCTGCGACTCTGGCTGCTGGACGGGCCGGTTCCACCGGTGTCGGGGTCGTGTCAGCGTGCCTCGTGTTCACCTCAGTGCTCATTTCCCTGGGAAGTGGGTTCCTCCTCGCTGCCATGGTGATGAAGCTGTCGAACAAAGTTGGAGTGAGGCTGCCGTGGTTAGTGGAGGTCACGGCAGGAGCCTTTGTTGTTGTAGGTGCTGTCACTACTGGAGTATTAGTTGGCGTCCTTCCACCGTGGATCTGTATTGTAGCCCAGGGCATTCTGGTCCTTACAGTCTACTCATACTCCAATATTAACGACATGACCACAGCTCTGTTAATCATCTTCACCACCCTCTACCTCAGTGTCGTATATGGGAGAATGGGTGCCGTAGTTGGACTCTTTATTTTAGGATTGACCATTTCCCTGCTTTGTGCCCTTCGGAAGGCTCTGAAAGAGAGGATAACACAAAGACCAAAATCTAAAACCGGGTGCCAACTTTTAGAGAGGATATTCTTCTACTCTGTTTTTGTGGGGATAATGGGATTTTCAGTAGGTTTAGGGGCACGTGAAGCAGGAGAAGGGTCTGAAGCAGAGGTAGTTTTGATGCTGCAGTCGGTCCTCTGGGTGGCATTTCTGTCCGCAGGGCTGCTAGGAGCTGGCCTGGGAACAGTGGCCACGGTCGGGCTGGGGCCAGAGGCTGCTGGAAAGGTTGCTGTGGGAGCTGCTATAATATCATCAGTCGCCCTGAGAGCCATTCTGCAATTCAGCTCTTCTCTTGGGGCCCGAAGCAGCATGGGGGGAACATTAGGAACCGCTACAGCTGCAGGAGTGTCACTTGGAGCTGCAAGTGTTGCAGCAAAACAGGTGTTCGGGACTCGAAATTCTGCTTTTACCGTTTTAGGTTCAGTTGCTGGTGGTGCAATTCTGGCAATGCGAGGTGTGGTGCTGAAAACAACTCTGCTAACAACATCAGAACTTCTGACAATCACCCTTGTTGCAGTAGGGGCATTTGTTCTGGGTGCACCAAAGAGCCCATTCCACACTCAAGTGAATCTACAAAGGGGCCTTCTCACGGGGCCACAGCTAATTATAGGAATCGGCATGGAGACGGTCACCGCAGCAGCAGCACCTATCGGAGCCGGGGCACTTGGGGCTGCAGCGTTGGGTACCGCAGCTCTGGGGAGACTGGGGACTGTGGGAGTTCTGGTGGCTATAGTGTTGGCTTTGGGAAGTGCTCTTAGCGGCATGATAGGAAAATCACCACCAACAACAAGCGCACACAGAGACTGATTGACCCCTGAGGTTAGGGGTCACCGACATTAAAGGGACATGTGTGCAAGTCGACATGGATAATGCCAATGATCAAAAATGACAGTTGTGTCATAAACATGTTTTATTGTGGCTTCCAGTGTTGAATAAAATGAATGACACATTTGAACAAAGCCTGTGTTTGTGTATTTATTCGACTGATAACTGTAAAGCGCTACTGGAGGATCAAATAAACAGTCAGCTTTAATGATCTCTTTACCTCACCTCTTCACACCATCAGTGCCACATTTCCCAAGACATGACTGCAAGCTGGCAGTTACTTTGGTTTCATCTTAGCAACAGTAACAGATGACTTGCTGTTCAGAAACAGGAGAAGAGGAGGGGGTGGGGGTGGGAGGAGAGAAAAGCAAAAAATAATATCAGAAGACTGAAGAGCATCTTAGGATAGAGTCTGCTGTGCATTATAGAGAAATATGGATTTATACATCAAAAGGCTTGGTATGTCTGCCTATATGTACTTAAGTTGCCCTCTCTGAAAAGATTCTATGTTGCATGCAAATGGATATCCACCTGTTGCTCAGGGCTGTGTCGGTCTATCATGGCAGTACGCAGGACTTCAGCAGCAAGGAAGAAGAGGTTGCAAGAAGTTCCACTGAAACAGCCGGCTCCAAGACTGTGAGAAGCTCTGAGAATCTAATATACCTTTAAAGGAATTTAATGGCACCGTAAAGTGGAGAAACGTGGTAATCATTTCCAAAAGTAAGCGAGGTTTCACTGTGGATATAGTCTGTAGAGGAGTCATTGAAACTTAACAGCCTGAGAGGGAATTATTCTCTGCACTGACGATGATGTTTTTTTTGTTTTGATTGAGATGGATGGATTTTTGCACAAAGTTGAAAGTTTGACAGTTGTCTCCAAAAGTAGCACAAAGATGGAGCGCATCACAAGTTCACCGTGGATTCTGGCATTCTGTGCGCTTCAGGAATAATGTTGCACGACAGTATTACTCCATGAGCCGAGAGGATTAACCTACAGTAAAATAACATGTCTCTGAACCGGGTCCACACGACAGACACGGAGCAGTCTGCAGAGTACTCGGTCGAGTACTCGGTGCAGGTTCCCAGTGACTCCAGCACTGGAGCGGCTCGGACTCGGGAGGTCACCGTNNCCGCCGCCGCTTCCTGCCGCGCGCCGTGCGCCTCACCTTTACGCCCAATTCGCTGGAGAATCTTTACCAGAACTACTTCCGCAGACAGAGACAAGATAACCTGCTCGTGTTGGCGATGTTTGCTGCTCTTTTCAACAGCTTCATCATCATCATGTGCGCGGTGGTGTACACCGAGGACAAGCTGGCGATGGTGGTGGTCGCAGCCGTGGGGCTGGCTGCGGACGTTGCGCTCTACGTGCTGTGCTGGCTGCAGAAGCTCCCGGCGTCGCCAGTCTCACGCGGAGCTGTACCGTACGTGCTGTGGTTAATGATCGCCGTTCACGTTTTATGTTACATCTGTTTGAACTACGAGCGTTTCCCGCAGGCCAGCGACTCCGTGGGCTGGCAGGCCTTCTTCAGTTTCTCCAGCTTTCTGACACTCCCACTGAACCTGGTGCCGCTGCTCCTGCTCACGGCCCTCTCCTGTGGGATACACACCCTTGTACTGGGGGTGACTGTGGCGAAAAAGTTTGAGGATAACCTGCAGGGGCCCATGCTGGCGAGGCAGGTAAATATGGCCCTCAGTAAAGTTATGCATGACAGAGCCCCCTGAAACTTAGACGGTAAAAGAAGCCCCGAGGTGTCACAGGTGGCAGGTGGAGAGCGATGGATGGAGTTGGGTCGTGTTTTTTGTGGCATGTGACCCTGATGCCCCCCCAAAAAAGTCAAATGAGAGTAAAATGAGAAATGGAGACAGAAAATATAACCTTTTCATGGAGCAATGTTGGTGTTACTTGTTTGTTACTTATTTTGTGTTTATTTGTTTAACTTTTCCACTCTTTCTATGACCCATCTCAAGGATGTAAATTATAGATGGTATATGATCATTGTACTTCTTTTTTGGTCTACTGACCACTCAAAGAGCTTTTCATCACTTGTCACATTCACCCATTCACACACAGTGATCACAGAGGCTACCAAGCAAGGTGACAGCTGCTCATCAGGAGAAATACATCACTTCTTATCCAAAGCACTCATGATGATACTATGCTCTTGACACACACACTAACACACCAATGGCACATCCATGTGGAGCAATTTGGGGTTCAGTATATTACCCAAGGACACTTCAACTGGACTGAGAGAGCCAGGAAACAAGTGACCCTCAAAATACTAGAAAACCCCATCTACCACCTGAGCAACAGCCGCCCCAATTACTGATAATTATAACAGAGAATTTAAACTCCTAAAATACCTTTTCTTTTGAAAGGCAGCCTATCAGAATAATTTTTTTTTTCTCTGTAAAATTCCAGACAAGAAATACCACATAGAGCCTCTGAATTGGTTAATCTAGAACCTACAATGCCCAAATAAATAAATACAAACATTTGTATGAAAAATCGACTTTCATCGAGACTTTCAAGGATTAACAACATGGCTCCACATGTTGACTGATCTCTGTACATGAACTGAGAATTACAGATTATGGTTCCAAACACACAACCTCTCTCGCTCTCTTCAGCTCTTAGCCAACGTGATGCTGTACCTGTGCGCGGCCGCTGTGGGGGTGATGTCGTACTACATGGCGGACAGGAAGTACAGGACAGCTTTTTTGGAGGCTCGTCAATCCCTAGAGGTCAAACTCACACTGGAGGAGCAGAGCACCCAGCAGGCAAGTGGAGCACACAAACATGCACACACATAATCACAGGTAACCTTTTCTTAATGAGATAATACATTTTCTTATTTGGGGCAAACACACACATACACAAACACACAAATACACCTGTGAGATAGAACACCCTGTGCTGCCTAATTATGGTGTGTTTTGCACAACTCAAGGCTAATAGGTTGATTAGAGAGACTTGTTGTTAACACCAGTGGAGCCACCGTCAGGGACCTGGCATCATACATACAGTCAGATTAAGCTCGCCAACAACCAACAGAGCCATTACCAAAGGTGTGAAAGGATATGAAGTTTTAACTATTTTTATTGTATTTAATTAGGACCTTTATTGCTTATATCCTTATTCCTTATTCCCACTTTATCTCCTCTAGTATTATATTACTATACTTACTTATATTAATATATATTGTCTATAATGTGAATGTTGTTCCTGGTCCATTTTGCTTGTAAGTTAATTGTCCTAATTTACCAGAGAGGGAGACTATCATTTGTCTGTCCAAAGAGTGAAGGAGTGACACATAAATACATAGAACGGCAATGATACGTCCCCTCAAAGCCATTTTATGCTATTATGTATTTCTTCTCATGTCACGAGGGTGCTGGTATTTGAAGGTTGATTCTAATTCATAACTGTATTGAAGTAAAAGATAATGTAACCTAAACTGTCTCCAGCCATGCTCTGATTGATTTAATTCTTCTTTTGATGCACTTTCTTGTCCTTTCCACGATTCTGACTGTGGCAATTTGTAGGGGAAAAAGAAAGCAGACCTGTGAGCTTAGAAAGGGGTGGAAAAGATGGTGGATAGTGTTGATATGAAGATGGAGATGGAGAAACAGAAACAGATAAAAAACAAAAAGTGTATGTAGAATTCCCAAAGGTTTGCGAGAAGACAACTAAAACCAGCCAACCATAACACATCTGACCCGTTGACAGCATCTCTTGAGGGCTGCTAGGATCTGTTTACTGCCTCAGTCATGCTATTCACACACACACGTTCACATATGGATAACTCATTATTTTGTCATTACTGAACGTGACAAAACTCACTTTGTGTCTCCATGTAGGAGGAACTATTACTGTCCATTCTTCCCAAACATATCGCTGATGAGATGCTGCAGGGAATGAAGAACCAGGCCAATCAGCAAGAGGTCCAGCAGCATCAGCAGTTCAACACAATGTACATGTACCGCCATGAAAACGTCAGGTCAGGCTCACAAAATCAGCTTTTTGGGGGGAGATTTCAAAGCTCCACCGGTTGTGATGTTGTTGTCATTGTTGTTGGTGAAGGTTTTTACAGCTTGTTAAATGCTACATTGCAACCTCTGCACTTGTGTTCCAGTATCCTGTTTGCTGACATAGTGGGATTCACCCAGCTGTCCTCAGCCTGTAGTGCCCAGGAGCTCGTAAAGCTGCTTAATGAACTGTTTGCCCGCTTCGATAAACTGGCAGACGTGAGTGTCTGTTCTTGTATGTCTCTTCTTCTATCAAGTGGCTCAAACAATGTATAGTATAATATATTGTTGGTAGGAACACTGCTAATGTTTGATATAGCTTATATGTAATTTTCCATGTTTTTTTTTATTCTAAATTTTGCTTTGCTACACTTTATTTAAATATGCAACTTCTCCTGCTCTGGCCTCATCTTGCAGGATCATCACCAATTAAGGATTAAGATCCTCGGTGACTGTTACTATTGCATCTGTGGTCTTCCTGACTTCAGAGAGGACCACGCCGCCTGCTCCATAATGATGGGTCTAGCAATGGTAGAAGCCATCTCGTAAGTAGTGATTTTAAATTCACATTTTTATACAAAAGACATAAAAATAACTTATATACCCAAAGAAAAGCACAGAGACAAAACAAAGGCCAGTGACAATGTAGAGATGGTATCAATTTATTTGCATATCTTGTGTATAAGACAACAAGGAATCATAAAAAAAAGATGTATATATAAGATATAATTTTACACAAGAAAAAAGTATGAATGAAAGGAAGAAGCAAGACAGAGGAGGACGGTGGGCCCAAATCTTGAAATTGTAGTAAGGACAATGCAGGCTAATCACAAGAATCACAGAATCAGAGCAGACATCCTCTGCTTTCCCTCTTGCTCCAGGTACGTACGAGAGAAAACTAAAACTGGAGTGGACATGCGTGTGGGTGTTCACACAGGCACCGTTCTGGGAGGAGTGCTCGGCCAGAAGAGGTGGCAGTTTGACGTTTGGTCCACAGATGTCACTGTAGCCAATAAGATGGAGTCTGGAGGTATTCCTGGGTAAGTGAGCAATACTTTATTTACTTTATCAATACTTCTGCTGTGCATTTTTTTTAAAGGTTTGTGTACTACACAGGAGAGTGCATATTTCCCAGACCACCAAGGACTGTCTGCATGGAGAATTTGAACTGGAGCCGGGGGAAGGTGGAGATAGGTGCGAGTACCTGCTGGAGAAAGGCATTGACACTTACTTGGTTCTAGTGTCTAAACAGGTGGCAAATGGGCTCAGCGGAAATGTGAGTGGAACAATAATGTGGGCCTGATATGTTTTACTCTGCAAAAAAGTTTATTTTTAAAGCCTTAAATAGATTTACTCCTTATACCCCATTAAAAAATCCTGAATCTATGAATATGAATCTCCTATTTCACTGTAAAGTATATTCTCAGTGTATGTGCACTGGTTGCTTCAGGTTTCTACATCCCACTTAATTGCATACTGATCCAGGGTTGACTTCCAAACTTGTGATGTCACAAATCATGCTAGTAGGCCCCGCCCCTTAAAATTGGATTTTCAATGAGCAGAGAAACTTCCTACTATCAGCAGATGAATGTGAAAACATCCTTGTAGTGTCAAACTCTGCACATTAACAGCATTAACATATGTTTTTCCTGTTTCCCTTCTTCAGAAACCAGGCACATTGTCCAACAGAAATTCAAACCAGTTGATCAACACTACAGCAACTAATGGGAACACAGCCTCGCCCCAACCCACGCCCAGAGAGTCTAAACAGGAGGTGAATTATGTTTATTAAATGTAATTATTCAATGACTTAAGTAAGTAAATATCATATTGATACCCATGCATTGAAAACACACATCCCCAGTACCATTAAATGATTCTTTAATGGACATTCTTAAAAAAAGTGTTATTAATAATCTTACCTGTCCGAACTCTCTTGCTGACAACCTTTAGAGGAGTAAGGCGGTTGAGGAACAAGTGATCAACAGACGACTGCAGCAGGAACTGCTGGACAGAGAATCTCAGCAAATGTAAGAAAATGAGACGAAAAGCAAGGATGATGATTACAGAGTTAGAGGGATAACATGAAACTTTAAGGCCGATTTTGCAAATAAGACTGTAGCTGAGATAACCAAAAACTGGATGAAAGTGATTGCATTGTCCACCTGTATTCCTTTTGCCATATCTCTCCATCTTCCTCACAGAATGAAGGATAATCAGATCAACCCTGTCTCATTGCGTTTTGTGGACGGGAAGTTGGAGGAGCACTACTCCTCAGAAAAGGAAAAACGAAGCGGCGCAGCCTTTTGCTGCTGCATCATAGTGCTCTTCTTCATTACAGCAATGGAGGTGTTCATAGACCCACTGTGAGTTAATATTTTGTCTCATAAGATGTACATCTTATAAAAAGCATTTAATAGACAAAAAACCAAATGCTACCAGGCTTTAAAATGCTCCGTGGACATTCTGTGAATTCATATACGGACCAATTGTGCCGTAAAAAACGTAAACAAAAAAATGACTGATACTGTGTTTTTGTTCTAGGATGGCTGTGAACTATGTGACTCTTGCAATAGGAGAGGTATTGTTGCTTATCCTCACAGTGTGCTCCCTGGCTGCCATCTTCCCCAGGGTGAGAAAAAACAAAATCAGTATCCATGGTTGTGGTGATGGGAGACAGAAATGTATTGAGCAATCAGTGCTTTGCTAACTTTTTGGCTCAAAATCTTTATTTTAAACCACTTCTGATTAAATTAGTGACACGAGACTGATGGAACATTAGTAGAGACATGATGTAAAAAATATACTCTCTTTTTTGGATAATGACATTGATGTTTTCTTTCTTACAGATGTTCTCCAAGAGGTTGGTGTCTTTCTCAATGTGGATCGATCGCACACGGTGGGCCAGAAACACATGGGCCATGGCGGCCATATTTGTTCTTACCATGGCTGTGATTGCTGACATGGTACGACTGCAAGACACTAATATATTACACAGTATACAGGATTTAAATAACACAAAAGCAAAATACATTGTGATATAGAAGCTCCCCTGGGAATTCAGTCCAGAAACCATTTATTCATCAAATAACTTGATGCTAATCCATTGAATTAGATACCTGAAAAATCAAGGTAATCAAACGTTGCCAACCTGTGTATGTGTGCGCCTTTCCACTTTGTCCTCATCAAACAGCCTTTTATGTGTCTGACTACATGTTCCCTGTGGGGTCCATTAGTTGTCTGTCTTGCTGCCTGCTGGCTCATTTGTCACGGCCCCACAGGAGCAGCCTGTTACACACACTGCTGACTTCAAGTTCTGACAGGAATATAGGACGCTAAAGTGAACATTCATTTTTTTTCTGTCTTAGCTGTCATGTGGAGGTGACAGTCACACTGGAAAAAAAAGAAGTGAATATGTTTTATTTATATATTTAATTTCTATTTTTATAGTATATTGAATGTAGCTGAACAATAACCAATATGACACAACTGTATGCACCTAATGTACATGTACAGCTTTAAGTGCAGCAGAAATTATGTTCTAAATGTGTTGTATGTACATTCATTTCATGAAATTAATACATGTATTTGTTGAATGAATTCATTATTGAATGTCAATGATTTGAACTCCATGTTAAGTCTCTAATCATGTCCTAACCATGAATACTCTGCTACATATGAAATTATTGATTTTTTATTAAATGTACTAATGCAGTTCATCTCTGTTGTTGCAGCTGAGCTGTGTCCCACCGTCCTTTCGAGTCTTCAACAGCACCTTGGGCCCCATGCTGGAGTCACTTGGTGACCGAGGCTGTGCAGAGAATCCAAAGCACTACAGCTACATGGCTGTGATGTCACTCATCGCCACCACCATGTTAGTACAGGTCAGCCACCTGATTAAACTGGGCCTCATGGTGCTGGTCGTCACAGCAACTGGAGCAGTTAATATCTACAGCTGGCGGGACATATATGACCTGTACGATTTTATACAGTTTGCCTCATACAGGTGAGGAATGGGTAAAACAGATCAATGAACAGTCTGAATAATGGACATTTGTATGCAGCCGTATTGAAAATACATAAATAAATTGTGATAAGCCAGAAAGATAAAGATTCTGCTATCTTTAGTGGTTTACAAATACAGTTGTGAGTTCACACAAAGTGATGGAAGTATTATTATTATTCTGCCACTGTCTTTGTTTTTCCAGAACATCCATAGTGCCATCCAAGTACCTCATGACCATGATGATTATTGTCATGATGATTGGGTTCTACTTCTTTGCCCGCCATGTGAGTCACTTTCTCTTGTAAACCCACATTGTATCACACTTTGCTGACCACCAGCCTGTCTGCCGCATGAAAAAATCACATGAAAGTCAGCGCCTAATGAAGAAAGCATCCTGTGCTTGGGCAAAGCAATTATCACTATGGTGTTTTTTCCTCAAAATAACCTACTCATTTCATCTTAACTGTCATTCCTACTGTGGTGTGTAGTTGGAGCGTCAGTCCAGGAAACTATTTCTGTGGAAGATCGGTGTGCACGACCAGAAGGAGAGGGTGTTTGAGATGAGGCGCTGGAACGAAGCACTGGTCACCAACATGCTGCCGGAGCATGTGGCCAAACACTTCCTAGGCACTAAGAAGAGAGATGAGGTATATATGATCCTGGGCCATGTTAAAGTATCATGAGTGATGGATGTCAGGAATGAGGAGAAGGAATGTCAAACAACACAATTAAGCAACTTAATATAGCTTTGTTACTTGCCTCATTGAAGTAATGAAGGCACTGTATGTAACGCTCATCGCAATGCAGTTTATTGTGTATCAGCGCCATCCTGTGGTCGATTAAATTATTACATATTAGAGCTTTTCTCTGGTGAATTCTCATAATCAGTGATAACAATTGTTTTGTGTCAAAGAAAAACATAGAAATACAAAATCCAAGCAATCTAACATCATGCTGCTTGTCATTTATAGGAGCTGTACAGCCAGTCTTACAATGAAATAGGTGTGATGTTTGCTTCCATCCCCAACTTTTCTGATTTCTACACTGAAGAGAGCATCAACAACGGAGGCCTTGAGTGTCTCAGGATTCTCAATGAGATAATCTCAGACTTTGACAGCGTGAGTCTGAACAGTTTGTTGTATGTGTATGTGTCATCAGTGTGTGAACAGACATTTTAAATGCCTAGGCCTCCCCTTGACTAACTAATGTACACTTTCTCTGCCAGTTACTAGACTGGGATGAGTTCCGCTGCATCACCAAGATCAAAACAATCGGAAGCACCTACATGGCTGCCTCAGGACTCACTCCAGAGAGCAACACGAACGAATACAGCAACCGCAAGGTTGTTACTTTAAAAGCCTATATGTTTACTGTTTACCTTGTTACATGTATATCTGTTATCCATTTTCTCTAAACTGGTTGTGCTCTTATTCCACAGCCAGAGGACCAGTCACTGACTGAGCGCTGGCAGCACCTATCTGCCCTGGCAGACTTTGCCTTGGCTATGAAAGTAACCCTCAACAACCTCAACAAACAGTCCTTCAACAACTTCATGCTCCGAATCGGTTAGTGTATGTGTGTAAGCCCGTCTGTGTGTACATTTGCAAGTGTGTGTATGCTCATGTTTCCATGTTAATTCCCTATCAGGTCTGAATAAGGGGGGGGTTTTGGCAGGAGTCATTGGAGCTCGTAAACCTCATTATGATATCTGGGGCAACACAGTCAATGTAGCCAGCAGAATGGAGTCCACTGGAGTGATGGGAAACATCCAGGTAGTGCAAACACAAAAGCACACATACAGCAAGTTTGAATGTCTCCTGTTAGGCCTTTTTTTAATGTCATGTTCATTTTCAACTTCTGATTTTGTGAATCTCCTGCTCTGCCCTCAGGTGGTGGAGGACTGCTATGACATCCTGAAGGAGTATGGCTTCCGCTTTATCCGGAGAGGGCCAATATTTGTCAAAGGGAAAGGGGAGCTGCTAACCTTCTTCATGAAAGGAAAAGATAACCCCAGTAGCAATGGGACCACTGCCCTTCCGCATCAAGTTGGGGACCTTTCTTGATTATTTTCACCTGGTGAAATGCCATTAACACCAAGCCAGTTTCTCTGATATACACAGGTTATTTACCTAGTTGTTTTTTCATACATTCTGTAGCAATGTAATGTATATGGAAGTAGACCAACACAACACAATAGTACTATAATAAGCATTAGGCCTACAATTTTGAAATACCATTTCACCCACAAAGGAATGTAATATCAGAAACTGATTCTGTATAGTTGTACATAATTCAGTAATACAGTCACAGAGCTCCTGGGTTACAGATTTTATCACTTTGCACTTGATTCATAAAGTGCTATGAGACTTACAAGCTTGGAAAAGACATATAAAACATACATACATTACTTTTCTTTGTTTTACCTTGAGCTCAGGTTTTGTAAAATAATGTATCTTAATTACACTGTATTTATACTGTGCTAATAAAACATGTTTGCACTTTGCAAGTTTTTAAGATTATTTTGTGGATCTTGAGATGCAATGTTGGTTGGTCAGAGAGCAGTGCTTGAGCTTGATTCTACACAAGTCATCTGCACAACATGCACATCTAGCTTTCATGAGGAGGGGTCTGGTTTGATTAAATAAATGACCAAATAGTTAAAGACCCTGCACACCCACATCCGGTGTGATCAGTTGTTCTGACAGACTTATGCTCGGTGTGAAGATGAGCTGAGGTATATGTTCACCAAATTCAACAAACCAATAGGACTGGGAACTTCTCACATCTTAGTTATAACAGCACCATGGTCGGTTGACCTAATCAGAAAGAATTTGCAAAAATATGCATGGGAGTGGAGCACGGCTGTGTAGGGGCTTTAATTTTAGAGATTCCAAACATAAAAATGAGATTTAAGGAGAATAAGAAAGATAAAAGCCTATTTATTGTTTAAATAAATGATTTTCATATTCTATGCCAAATGTTACATGCTAAATGTTAGCGTGTTAGAATGCTAATGTTACTGTGTTACCTTTCTAAAAAGTATGAACAACACAAATGCAGCTTAACAGTGCTAGTGATTGGTAGTTACGAAAAACTGATCAGTGATCTAATTTTAAATACAATGGATGTTTTTCTGGCCACTTGTTTATATGTTCATTCATTGATTACTTCATTCATTCATTAACACATTTGCAAAAAGACCTTGATGAGCATTGTCAGTTTGTTTTCCTGTAAGGTTAAATTGGAAAATGGCTTGGATTGATCAGTTACAGGCAACATGTATGATCTAAATGTCTACAAGAGTATGGCCCCACTATAAAAAAATCCAAACAGTTGAAACCTGACTGTAATTGTAAAAAGCTAGAATAAATGACCTAATTAGGATAAGTCATCTATAATGTTATCTGTTACACCTGTTTTTTTTTATTTTATTATTGTTATAGTGTTTCTTTCTATATTAATAATGAATTGAATGAACATTCGTTTTTTGAAGTGACTGGAATAAATATATAGATACTGTCAATGGGTGGTATAGACCTTTTTATGTGAGATTTATGGTTATTTTTTCAGTTTACTTTACATATTTACATAACATATTTTGCAGAATATAATAACCACCATTGCTCTCTATGATATGGACTGGTCAGTACTAGCTATTATTTTATTTTCCTGTTTACATAATCATGTGTCTCAACTTGTGGTCAACTTTTAGCCAAAATCAAAAACCTTTTACCTACCTTCTACTCACTTCTTGGAGATAATTAATTTGGAGTTACATTATTTATTGAGGTGGGAGTGGTTTATGTAGAGATGTAAAAGCTGAACACCTGTGGAAAGCCAACATGAGGTTCACGCGTCGTGCTCATTTGAAATTCCGGATATATTAAAGCCAGGTCTCCGGAGACACTGAAATGAATTTTAATGTGATGTGTTATTGTTGTCAGTTAATTATTATGCTAACTAGGTTCTCATGCGCCACCCATGGATTATAATTCTACCCGGAAGCCTAGTAGTGTAGGAATTTCCGGTTACGTCAGGGCGTCAGGACTCCATTAGAGCTGCAGCTGTTTGGAGAGAAACAACAACAAAAACGGGCTAACTGACAGCGCTCCCATAGTGACAGTCCGCTCGGAGCCCGACAACGAGGCCTCAAATCTGGAAGCTTCACCTTCATTTCCCACCCGGAGCTCCGCCGGCTTCTAACCACGGCCGCTCTCGGTGAGGAAACTCTGGCCTCCGCTTCCTCCTCCTCCGACTCGGACACCGGCGGAGCGTCGCCGCCCCCGCGGAAGAAGCACCGAGCCTCGGCGGCGGAGGGAGCAGGAGAGCCCGGGGCTTCAGCAGTTGTAACAGGCCTGTCCGGAGTTGTCTTGGGACTTGCTACACACGCTCCACACTCTCAAGCCACCTCTGCCATCCACTTTAACCGAAGTGTAGTCAACAACCTCAGCACCAGTATGCAGGCAAACGGGGCAGGACAGGGACAAGAATCCTCAGAGCTTTCCTGCCTTAACAGCGCACAAAACGGGGAGTCATCCTCGGCCGGCGGAACCCACTCCAATGGGCTTTTCTCCAGCACAGACAACGGTAACAGTGTCGGTACCAGTAACGGGTCTTCCACCGGGCCCGGTTCGGGGACTTCGGCTGCCTCTACTGCTTCAAGTTCGGAGGTCGGCTCCTTGAAAAAGAAAAAGCGGCTATCGCAGGCGGAGGAAGATGTCATACGATTAATAGGGCAACATCTCCACGGACTAGGGCTGAAGTAAGTTTATTCAAAGTCGAATGAGGGGTGGTGGGGAAAAAAAACCTACAAATGCATCCGACGATAGCGCTCAACGTGCGAAGTTTGATCTGTATTGCTGATGTTTTCGCACGGAACTGCGAAATAGCTGCCGGTAAAAGCGCTATTAATGCGCCTGACAGACACAAACATGGGGGGATGGGGCAGTTAGCCTCCGAGCTCGGCAGTCGGTAGAAAGAAGGGGTCCATCTTGCACAATAACACTTAGCTTGGGAGCTAGCAGCCCTAGCCTGCGCCGAGGTGGTGTATCCTGACATTAAACCTTCACACACCGACACTAACTGCGGCCTAACATTTGGCTTCTTCGCAAGGCCATCGTGAGCTGAAGGGTGTTTTTGTGTGAAAGTGTCGCCACGATGAGTTAATTAACGTTACAGGTTTTCGCACTGGATATATATATATATATATATATATAAAAAAAAGGGGGCATTACATCATCTGAACGTTGGTAATGTTTATTCAGAGGAAAACACGATCCGCGTACTTGTTGTTGTTGTGGTGGGTTTTTTTTGTTGTTGCGAGGAATACAATCAATGTCATGCGAATGGTGAAACTTGATTTAGCTTCTTAATTGAGCACACGAGCAGGATTATTGAGTTTGCAGTTTGTTGCGTTTCAAGGCTATTAAATAAATAAAAAATGTGCAGGAAATGTTAATGTGCGGGTTGTCAGTGTTGGTTGGTGGGTTTCTCCATTTTCCACTTTTGGCTGCCTCGGGAAAATAACATTTTTTTTTTTTTTTTACAAGACCGTGTGGGAGGAACATTAATAGGTCGGCCACACTGTAATAACTACCATGGTTATGAAAACTGTCCTGGTTATTTTAGTATTCACAGTGCACCCTTTGCAGGTCTTGAGCTGTCATTCCGAGCTGGTCTTTTATTTATGAAACGAATCCCGATTTTGTACAGCTGTCTCACGGACATGATAACTTTCTTGCTAGATTTGCATCCGCATTTTTCGGCCACTGTGTCAAGAGTCTCAAACAGTGGCCTGCATGTATCAGGACATGTATTTAATAAAAGACAAGCAGCCAGTGCGGTGTGCGACAGTTGACTCAATTGAGCAGAATCGGTTGTTTTCATGGCGGCTGAAGAATGCGCTTTCTACCAGCTGTTTTAGATGGTAGCCTGTGTTTGAATCTAATAATAGCATAGTGGGGTTTTCAAGAAATGTACGTCTGGCCCTCCTCTCTAAAGTGGCTGCGGTGGCCACTGTTGGATAGCTAGACGTCCGCAGATCTGTGGCATCCAGCTGAGGAAGTGTTACTGCCATTACAAGGCTTTATAAAGGACAGCAGAACATCGCTATGTTTACAAAGAGGGTGGGCCAAATGGAGGGTGGGGGGGGTG